CCCCCCCCCCCACCATGAGTGACTATGCACATATCGTAATCGTCAATGACTATCGCGATATTGTTTGGCATGTGCATATCGTTCTTCCAACAATGATTTTCCCACCTTTGCCATTGTCGCAGTGGACAGCTTTATGCAATGATGAAATAAAATTTGATCTTTATAAATAAGATAGGAACTGATGTATCTTATTTGTTGCTAATGTAGCTTAATTGTCACGTTAATATGTTTTTACTATATATTATCTAAAGTTGAAAATGCGGTCATTGTTTTTAATACATTTATCGCGATATTATCGAATAATTTCCTAGACAATCAATCAATCAATCAATCAATGAAGCTTTATTAAAAAAAAAATACATAAATAGGTAACATGGTGTCCTTTCACTAAAGTGCTCTTCCAAGGAGCCATGTAAAAATACAAAAACAAAAGAAATTAGTTAAATATATATACAATCCTATCATATTTACAACTACTTAATCTTAGTATTAAATTTGAAAGTTAGAAAGTTTATTTTTGAAAAGATATATTGAAGCCTGACTTCTTATTTCATCCGGAAGATCGTTCCATAACACAGCCCCACGGTAGCCGAAGCTCCTTTTACCAGCCTCCGTTCTGGGTCTAGGGGTGAACATACTGTGCGAACTACCTCTAAGATTGTGAGAGTGGACTTGCGAGGTAGGTTCAAAAATAGTGTTAAGCTCGTTGGGATATAAATTATTCACTGCTTTATAAATACTTGTTGCGAGCTGTTTAGCACGACGTTGGTCAAGAGTTTCCCAACCAAGACTGTGTAGTATATCAGCTGATCTTACGTCATAATCGGAGAAGGTTATTATCCTACCGGCTCTGTTTTGCAGTTTTTGCAGTTTTTCAGAGAGGGTTTTACCTAGGCAGCCCCAAACCTCACTACAATAGTCTGAGTAAGGTAACACTAAGGCTTTATACATCAGGATCAATGTGTTTTGGGGTACAAAAGTTCGAATCCGCTTTAACGCCCCAAGACTTGCACTTATCTTCTTACAAATGGTTTCAATATGTACTTGCCAATTTAAAGATTCATCAATTTCAAGTCCCAACAATGATGTGATTTGTTTAATATCGCCCAACCCTACTGGAGTTTCGAAACATTGCGTCGTAAACTGTAACCTCTTTAAGTTACGTCCATTAAATTTACAAGTCAGATCTGTTTGCTCTGAACATGTGCCTTATCGATGTTTTTCTTTGTATCAGTTTTTCATGTTCTTTTTTCCTCTGTCATTATGCTCAGAAAGTCAGCCAACATGTCTATGCAGCCGTATTCTGATGAAGAGCTGAACTACTTCAAGTTTGCGTCAATTGTCCTAAAGGAATTCCCAGATGCTTTGCGTAGCATCTTTGTGGACATGTGGGACACCAGAGTTGCACCAAGTTCCACAATTTGGGATGACTCGCTTTTTGTACGCAATATACTCCACAACAATGAGGCTCCAAACACAAAAATCCCCACGAACAACTCATTTAAAGAGTGGGACTGCACTGCACTATTTCAAGCCACTCTGTATGCAAGAACATTTGCGCTACCAGACAGCACAGGAAAGAAAAAGACGCTTGGAGAAATGTATTTAAAAGGACGAAAGCCAGTCCCTACTCTATTCCACTCTGCAGTAAGAAGCTCGAGCGGAGATGCAAATGAAACGATTGCACTTGCCATTGATCAGCTTCGTCTTTTACGAAACACTCTTTGTCATACATCCAGCCCTCAAATTAATAAAGTCACGTTCGATGATTATGTCAAGCACGCCAAAGATGCGTTCGCTGCTTTGAATTTTAGCGCGACATCTCTGGAGAGGATTGGCAACTTGAAAGAATTGGATTTTCCTACAAAGGAAGTAGAAAAACTTAATGAAGAAATCAATCATCTGAGAAATGACTTCCATCTGTTTCTTGAAAATGAGGTTAAACATGAAATGAGTGAAGTGAAATATGAAATGAGTGAAGTGAAATATGAAATGAGTGAAGTGAAACAAAAACTGAATAGCATTGAAGGAATATTAACACAGACAGAAGATACCACAGGTATGTTGTTTATGTAAAATTATAGCTTAATTATAGATTTCCCAATTGGAAAGCTGCATTTATACCATATGATCAGTCAATTTATCATTAAACTTCCCCAGCCGTTGTTTTTCAGGTTCGTAAGTTGATTTGCCCCGCGCTATTTGGGGGGAGAGCGGGGGTGGGAGAAGCTAAGGGGGCGGGGAGAGTGCGCTGCTACGCAGGCTAGCCCCGCTCCAAAAAGGTATTCTTCATTCCACGGGATAATATTCCGCCGAATTCCTCGAGAGGGTATATGTTGTCGGTGTCTCGTCATTGATGATTGTTAAAACTGCTTGTAGCTGCAGGCAGAACATCATCAAATACGTCTTTTCCAGGAATACAAAGATTAGTTATTCTGCTGGGAAAATCACCCAAGGGAGCAAAGGACAACCAAGAACTCGACAAAAAAACTTTTATTTGGGTGGTAAGCATGCTTTCACTGCCAAAAAAACAAAAGAACAAAATCAAGAATGCTGATGAACGGCTTATGACAATACATAACTACAATAAAGTATACTCTCCTGGGTATTTTTGCCTTGCAGTAAAACGTAAACAAGATAGGGGTCTATAGGATCATAGTCTTTCAAGACATGGTCTGGAAACTCAGTAAACTTCAAAGCGGTTTTAATGAGCTGGGATTTTATGTTGAGCCGTACCTTACACCGTGCACATCCTTTGTTTTAGGTTTATTAATATTTAAATAGCATGGTTGAATGACTGAACTGAAACGTTGCTATTGGATGATCCGTTCATTATACTGAAATACAATGTGTTCATTGACCATGCACCGTGCACAAAACTGCATAAACGCGAACAAAAAGATAGAACAAAGACTTTAGTAGCCTGCTCACAGGCTCTATTATATAATAGAGCCTGCGACTTTTATTGATATTTTTTCAATACGCCCCCTTTGAGATAATTGAATATCCGGTAAATAGTAGCCAATCAAAGCAAGTTTTGTTAATTAGATTACCAGAGGTTATTAACAACAACAAACAGTTTCTCGCGCAATTTTACGTCTGTATCTTTCACTAGGATTCCAAGGTCTAAACTTTAATCTAAAATAATTCATGGTCGTTTTTTCCCTAAAGTGTTCTAATATTTAAAACATAGTCCCGTTTGTATATTGCTGTCTTGTTCGTACATTGCCGTTTTAAATTATGTAACTATACTACAGAGACGTAAAATTTTTACTCTGTTAGTTAATGTATTTTATATATTGATATCCAAAATATAACTGTAAGATTTAAGGAAACGTATTTAGGTTTTGAACAAAGTAACAAACACTATTTATTAAAAGTGTCGAACAATAGCAGGCTAAAAAACATTAATCATTATTGCGGAAGTCTGTCATTTGCTCAATAATACAATTAACTCAATAGACAATAGACAATTTGAAAACCCGTGGCCGTGGCATCGATTCTGCCGTGTTTAATAACTACATTTTTTTTGTAAAAAGCTCTTGTTGTAATAATATATGTCACTAGTTGAGACTCCCAAAAATAAAGTCACAAAGAGAGAGAGGACTTCGGTCAAAGAACACGCAAACGACTATTGCAAAATTTCCAGGTGTAAATTCAAATTGGCCAGGTGTTCTAAGAACAACTTTCCTCGACGGCGTCTGTTTTAATAATTTGCCCATTGTCTTGACTTATTCAAGACCAGATTGTTTTAATAGGCAGAAAGCCTTGGGTTGACAGGGAAGTATTTGGGAGAAATGTTCGGAGGCATTTGACAATCAACTGCTTTATACTAGCTGATTCACTGCCTGTGTCTCAACGAACGTCTCGCTGGGCTAACCTTAAGTTTAAAAATGTTGGAAGCGAAACCAGGATTCATAATTAATTGTGTAAACGTTCTCTGGTTATTGTAAACCGCTCTTATATAGCACTATTCACTCTGTATCATATCTTATATCACTAGCACATTATAAATCTACCCGTCGAAGACTGCAGACTGGCAGTCGAAAGCTTGTTAATAAATAAATCTTTTTTAACCAGAGAACGTTTACACAATTAATTATGAATCCTGGTTTCGCTTCCAACATTTTTAAATCTATCCGCCAAGAGGCCGGGCGAAATGCCTTGAAACTAGCAAGATCCTTAGAAAAATCCATTTACAAACTCGAAGCACATCACCGTCACCTCAATTTCACACACCGCGCACTCGAATTTTAAGAACGGAAAAATAATTGACAAGGGAAGCTATCGACACAGATCGACGTTAGAGTCTTGGCACACTGCATGCATGAAAGACGCTGATAACAACTCAAAACATTTGCCAGAACAATATCGCTTTTTGCTCAAAAAACTTTAAATTCTACACAATATATTTACGTAGGCGGAACTGTTCAGTAATTGTCTTTTGTTAGTAAATGTAATTGTAAACCGCTCTTATATAGCACTATTCACTCTGTATCATATCTTATATCACTAGCACATTATAAATCTACCCGTCGAAGACTGCAGACTGGCAGTCGAAAGCTTGTTAATAAATAAATCTTTTTTAACCAGAGAACGTTTACATAACCTTAAGTTGTTCAACGTTTGAAACCGCAAGTGATGTAAACGCGGTTAGATAAATTGTCAGCCTGAACTAGACTTATTTTACTCTCTCTGCAAAGATCAGCAAGGCATACGTCGAAGTTTTCCCTGGTACTTCTTTGGAAAAGGTTTATTATTATAGCTGACGAAGACAAAGTATCGGTATATTACATGTAAACTTTTATCAAATCCCGTTGGAAGTACAGTTAATATTGCTAACCTTCGCTCATCCTTCAACGTTAATTTAAATTGAAAGTTTCAAATACATTCAGTTACTTCTTCGAAGAGATAAACAAAGTCATGGTTTTATACGCCACTGATTGAATGCCAGCTTTAAAATTACATTGCGAAATGTCGTACGAGTTAAATATTTGCACGATATTAACTCATGGGGCACTTCTGACCAATGGGAATTTTGCGTACGCTCCGTACGCATAAATCGACTTTTTACTAATAAAGGTCGCAGGCCGTTCCTCCCATGCAGCCTCTGCCTGACAACGGCCTGCGAGCAGGCTAAGACTTTAGCGGAGTTTCCAATCCATGTTTTGAAAGACTATGCCCAATGCTTTTTAATGTGATGTTACAAACGCCACGGCCCTCTTGTTGACATCGCTGATTAAGCGACTTTTAGTGGCATCACAAACAACTGATAAATTATGCTCTTTTCAAATCTTATTGGAAACACAGCCAATACTTCAATACTGAACAGCACACTAAGTACACTTTCCTTTTGGTCACGCTTTAACAATGAAACAATGAGAAATTGTCGGAAACATTCGTCTCAACCATCCTCGGTGCATGATTCTGCCATATGAAGGGTTTGTCAATTAATTCATCTTCCAGCCAGTGGAAAACATGCGTTGTCTCAACAACGCGGTGTACCCATTTTATGAGTAGAATGTCCACAGAGCCTTTTTCCCTTCCCTTTCATTTCCGCTCGTTCTCCCGCCGACAAGCCGCTCGACATCTAGCTTCGCTTCTGTGACCCCAACAGATCCCCTGAAGGGACTGTGGCACAGTGTAGACATGCGATGACCAGTTGACTAGCGGAATCGATTCCCAGTCGCGGCAAACGCCGGGTCAAGTACAGTTTTTCTCTGATTCTCTGCAGGGCCTTTTTTAAGGATTTTCCCGTGGGGGGGCATTTTTTGAAAAGGGACCTTTCTGTGAGATAATATATTAGAGGGGGATAGCAATGGCTGAAAGCCACGTGTGTGGCAAATATACCGCGCATGAATGGGGGGTCTGGGGGTGTACTCCCCCAGAAAATTTTTGAAATTTGACTCCCGGAAATGTCATTTCCTGCATTCTGAGCATCCAAATTTGCTCCAAAATTTATCCTAACTATACTTGTATTTCAAATAAATAAAGGAAGAAACACACAAAAAGTAAAAAAAAAATAACCATCATTTATCATTACTTATTAGAGGAGGATAGCAATGGTCAGGTGTGTGGGGGTGTACTCCCCCAGAACATTTTTGAAATTTGAACCACGGAAATGCCATTTCCTGCATTCTGAGCATCCAAATTTGCTCTAAAATTTATGCTAACTATAGTTGTATTTGAAATAAAAGATGGAAAAATGCACAAAAAGTAAAAAAGAATATTAACTGTAATTTATCATTACTTATTCGGAGGGATAATCCCAAGAAAATTTTTGAAATTTGAAACCGTGAAATGCTATTTCCTGCATTCTGAGCATCCAAAAAATAAAAAAAATATTAACAATAATTTATCATGGCTTAGTGGTAAAAAAAGTAACAATTTAAATCGATTTTGTTAAACAAGAACAAAGGATAAAGCCTAAAATTACTTTCCGTTTATCTATTTGTTAATCTTCGCTGGATTGTTTGTATAATTTTAGGAAAAAGGGACTTTTCCTGGGGGGCAAAATGTGATTTCGTGGGGGGGCACAAGGGGGGGACTGGGGGGGCAAATGCCCCCCCCCCCCAGCTTGTATGTTAAAAAAGGCCCTGATTCTCTGGTATGGATCGTCACTTGGAGTAGCACCTAATACCATTGTGTGGTTTCAATTTACAGATGCTTTTGTCTCGGAATAAAAATGAATCCATCTTCCATCCGTCTGTCTGTCTATCTATCTTATTTTTTTATTATTAATTTCTTTATTTGTCTGTATGTTGCTTTGTTTAGATCAGTGTGCTGCAACGTCGGACTCCAAATTCAAAGAATTTAACGACATTCTTTTGCTGACAGTGGACGACACGGAGTTTAACGAAGCGCAAAAAATATTAAACAATGTCGAAATACCCAGCAAGAAAGACGAAAGTGACAAAAACTGTTTATTTGGAAAAATAGGCAGAAATAAAGTGACGCTCTTGAAAGTTCCATACTTAGGCAAGACCAGCACTTCGTTAGGCCATGATGTTCTGGTTTATGAAGCAATCCAAGAACTTAAACCGAAAGCTATTGTTAGTCTGGGAGTTTGCGATGGTGTAAGGAAAGAAGCACATTTCCTTGGTGATGTCGCGGTGTCATCACAAGTCTACTTTCTTGAGCAACAGGACGACGGTTTGTCAAATTTTGATCGTGCAGCGTATGATTGCAATTTGGGATTGGTACGTTTGTTCGACCATGGAAAATTTGCGTGGGTTGGTCCTTGTGAAAATGTGGTAGTTCCAAAAGTCCATGTTGGTCAGTTTACGACAGGTTTACAAGATGGTGACGACAAAAAGAGGGATTTGCACGAAACCGGAACCATTGGAATAGACACGGCGTCAAAAAGTAAGTATACTACTAGTGCGAACGATCGGAATAATTTTCTCGTAAAACAGGAAAAATAAACAAAAAGTGTTTGCTAAATTTAATCTTGTCACTTAGAAGCGTCGTCCCGGGTGAATTTTCTAAATCTTCCAAATCCGAGGAGAGAAAATGGTTGTGCAGAACAAGGGGGAATTTCGTTCTCGACCAATCAGCGCTTTTGTTTACATTTTTGCCCTAAGCCAATCAGAATGCGTAAAACGCTTCATCACATGAAATTTGTAAACAAACATATGGGGTTACTTCAGAGCTTTTCTGCAAGCGTTTTTTTTTGTTTTTTTGCCATGAAATTCATATATGTTGTTCTTAAAAGAATTCTCCTCAACTTCCTCGTGGCGATTTTTGATCAATTGCGTGATTGCGAAGATATGGGTCTTCAAACTTTGCCTTGCGCAAGCTTAAATACCACCCCTCGAATCTGTAGGTTCCGAACGGATTAGGCCACTACAAGTTAATCTTTAGTTTCTGGTCCGGCCTTACCTTCGTTTACGACGCGGGCGGGCGGGTGGTTAGGACTATAGGACATAATTACAATTGTGGCTTTGCCCACATTTTTGTATCAAAATGTTATGAAATTTTACATAAATTGCATTTATATTATTTATAAATCGACATGTATGACAGATTACAAAGGATTTTACATATCAAAATGATCTATTAATATTTCTAGTTTTTTTACCTCGTAATCTCGATAAAACAGCGGTTTTACTACATTTTGCCACAGTGCCTTTTTTATGGAATTTTCATGGGGGGGGCTAATGAAAAGGCAGAAGGAAAAATATGAGCCGTCGAGGTTTGGCGAACGCGCGAGTCTGAAGAGAGATTTTGTAAAACTTTAATTTATTAACTTAATCACCTATATAAACAATAACGTCAACTCTTTGTAGCTATAATCGTACAGCTATAACCAGTGGCGTAGCCAGACCTTAATTTTTTTTTTGGGGGGGGGGAGAATCTCACGCCGAAGGTTCGAGACCGTCTAGGAGGGTCCGGGGGCATGCACCCCCGGGAAAATTTTGAAATCTAGGGTCCTGAATTGCGATTTCAAGCATTTTGGGAGTGAAATTCCGAAGAGTTCCGAAGATTATAAAGTACATCGAAGACATGAATTTTTCCAGACATTTCTACTCGGAATGAAACAAATTGGAAAAGTTACCTTGAAAAATAGGAGGAGGGGTCCGTGTCAACTTATTTCCTCTCTGTGATGCTGCTGGGATTCCCAATGTGATTTTGATCAGAAATGTTGCATTTAAATCATTTTAGGTTCTATGAGTCAACATTTCCGCGTTCTCAAAATTGCGTTGCTTTTTCATACGATACAGAATAAATCTGAGAAGAAATATTCATGCTATGATGATGCATACATCTATTTAACAGTTAAAAATCTAAACTAAATCTATTCTTCTTGGAACCAGCATTTTATCGGATTGTTTGCATGAAATCTATCGCTATGAATTACACACAAGATGGCTGTGGAGGAGGCTATGGAAGGGCATAATCTCCTTATCAAGTAAATCAACTGCAATTCTGACAGCAATCATGAGTAATTCTGCTTCGCACTTCGGGGGCAGAAATGGCTTTACTGGGAATTCTTCCTGGGTAATTGACCCCCCCCCCCGCCCAGATATATAGTTAAAAAAGGCACTGTTTTGCCAGGTGTTTTTAGTGTAAATTGAATATTTATCGTTCTATAAGTTAAATCCTTCGCGAAAATTTTCAAGAACTAGAAATTAATTTTTTCTGTGCTGGTGTTGTGTACTCAGGTTAATAATATGTTTGTGATGTTACTCTGAGTGCATATCCAAACCGGGCGAGCTTGAAAAATATGCCCGGCCACGGTGGGATTCGAACCTACGACCTTTGGAACACTAGCCCAATGCTCTTCCAACTGAGCTACGCGGTCAGGACGGTTCGAGTAAGTGATATTTCGGAACAGTATCTAGTTCCTTCAATACCAATGAGTTCTTGTAATATGAATTTTTTCTGTGCTGGTGTTGTGTACTCAGGTTAATAATATGTTTGTGATGTTACTCTGAGTGCATATCCAAACCGGCTTCAAGCTCGCCCGGTTAATTTTTAATCCTTGAATGACAATATATTCATTGGTCTCAGAGTCCTAAACTTAAGGAAGATGGATGACATTGGGACAGCTATTAAAATTTTGTTCAGATATCAAAATTTATGGACATATATATATATATATAGTCACAGTGACTAAGTCACTCATAGCACCCTCATTATTTCTTCCTTAATCTGGCCCACTAGTCACAAATGGGGCCTGTTCTTATGACCTGGCTAGGCAGGAGACAACATTTGCCAGTATTGCTGATATACTATCCTGCTACTATCTGGCTAAGGTATATCTGTTGCCAGAATCCCAACTATGCAAGCCAAGAAATTCACCATTTACAGTAAACATTCTATCCCACAACCAGGCAACATGAACTTGCCTTTAGGGCCCCATGCTTCCTAGGCCAGATCATATCAACAGACCCTTAGCAGATCCTGAAACTACAATTGGAACATTTTAGGCCATAATCTTGTAGAATCAACCAGGTATTGTCAGTATTATAATATCACACTGGGCAAGCTGGTCTTGCCCATTTATATGGGCTAAATATACACCTGCCCATGGTAAGATACTGCCTCGTATATTAATTTTATATATGTTTGAGATTGCATTCACATGACACAGCCTGGTTGAATTTATTGGCCCAGCATCTGCTTGAGCAAGTTGATATCCTGCATTGGGAGTCTCACACTAATAAAGGTCATAAGCTGGCCAACCAGCTCACTCGAAAAATCATGTTATAATACACAATTTGGCCCAAGTAAGGGACAGTTCATTAATTATACGTCAGGGTGGGCTGGAGGAAAAAGAGCAGAAACGGTGCAAGTTTTCCATGACCCCCCCCCCATTAAGGTGTTAATTTTTTCATGCCCCTCCTTCTAACCGACATTTTTTTTCACAGCCCCCCTATTTATTTTCACCAAGTCGTACAAATTTTTCCCAAAAATGTTGTCACATTGGCAAAAGCATAGTCTAAAGCAACGCTTCCAATTTCTTCACCACAAACATAACAAAAGCTTTAAAACTGTTAAAATTGCAAACCATTTCATCAAATGGTTTTGGTTGTGAAGGCTTAATATTTGAAACTGGTCAACCTAAAATATTAATAATTACCACAAATAATTTTGGCAACCCTTGCCACCCCCCTTTCATGCTGAAAACACTTTAAAGGCCCCCCCTTCTAACCATAAAATGTTTTGGCAACCCCCCTAATTTTCCTCCAGCCCCCCCCTGGTCCTTAATTAATGAACGGTCCCTAAGTAAAAAATTGATTAATATAAGCCTTCTGAAGCTGTTGTCATTAACAAATTAACCAGCATTTCACAAAAATTTCTTGACAATAGTTGCCAGGTTAGCCTGGCTCCTGTGAGGCAAATGACAAACTAGTCCTGAAAAGAAAATCCAGCCATGTTTGCTGGGCTAGCATGGCCCATTTTGACAGCCCTTAACAGGGAGAGCTTATTTTTGGAAGGGAGATCTGATTTTTGGAAGAGAGGCCTATTTGTGAGGTTACTGGGGGCTTAATATTGGATTGCATTATTATATAATAGGTGTAAAATATTCATTTGTGCACAGGTATTCTGGTAATGCACAAATTTATGGACTAAAATGTTTCAATTATAGTCTCGGGATCTATTGGGGACCTGTTTATACGATCTAGGCTATCTAGAACACATGCTTATTGTATATGGTGCTTATTGTATATGGTGAATTTCTTGGCTTACATATAGCCAGGATTCTGGCAATGGAAACCTCACGCTTAGCCAGGCCGATAGTAGCAGGATAGGATAGGACATACTGGCCAATGTCGTCTCCCACCTTAGGCCATCTAGCCAGGTAATATGAACAGGGCCCAATTGACTAGTGAGACAGATGAAGTAAAAACAATGAAGTTCATATATGTCCATAAATTTTGATACCTGAACAGCAACATTGAACAAAATCATTCTGTCCCAATGTCATCCATCTTCCTTAAGTTTATAGGACTCTGAGGCCAATGAATATATTGTCAATCAAGGATTAAAACCAATGAAGACAAGTGTTATTGTGAAACAAATGAAAATATTCATGTCCACAGGCTGCAACACGCAATGTTGACACATTATCCTGAAGTCAACAAAATGTGGGCATGGTAGAAAACCCGGGTACCGGATAATCGGATAACCGGATAATCGGATAACCGGATAATCGGATAACCGGATAACCGAATAGTATATAGAGATTTTTTCATGGGAAATACTTACGTGTGGTATTTACGCACGCGTTATAATCTGTTTTCGCAAATTAAACGAACGAGCGAGTGCAAAATTTGTTCTTCATAGACGATACAGAGTTTATTTATATTACACAGCGAAAAATATAAAGGTTTATATGTTTCATAAAGCGAGACAATCAGATAAACAAAGTCGTGTCGTACAAAAATACATCGGAAAATACAAATTTTTCAGTATTAATGAACAGGAAAGGAAATATCAATTTATTATTATTATTTACAAATACAGTTTTAAAACGGTAGCTCTTCAGAACACCTATGATCCGTTTTTCAAGAGGCCGTTTAAACTAATATTTACAAAGTTTAATAAAAATTACATCTAAAATATAATATAATATAAATTATCACACAGTTAAAGTCTAAGAGAAGATATGCAAAATATTGTATGCACACATAAATATAACTAACAAATATTGTCGTTTTCTCTGAGAAATGTTTTGAATTGTCCCATCGTCATTTCTTTTGCCTTAATCTCATTTGGCAAATTATTCCAGCATTTTGCCCCTGAGTAGCTAATACTTTTTTTGAGGAAATTAGTCTTAGGTTTATCCAGTTGAAAATTAATTCCGTTATTTCTAAGGTCATATTTTTCATTATTAGAGAATCTAAACAAATTAGCCATATTTGCCAGTGCCTCCTGATTTTTAACATTAAACTTGAATGTGAATCTCCCGCTCTCCCTTCTTTCCTCAACTGTTTGCCAATTAAGCTCTTTTAGCAATTCACTTGTTCGTATTTCATATGATTTGCCAGTAATTATTCTTGCCGCTCTATTTTGCATTTTTTTGCATCTTGTCGTGCAAGTAATTGCTGCAATTTTCCCAAACTAGACTGCAATAATCAATAAAAAGGAAATATCAATAAAATAATGGCATAGTACAAAACATGGACTGGACTGGACAGTTGGACTGGACTGGACAGTTGGACTGGACTGGACAGTTGGACTGGACTGATTTTTACATTTTCTCTATTTTTGACTTGCACAAAAGAATATTTCATCACAGAATAGATATACCATGTCAAGTCTATTTTGTGATTTTATCAATGAGCATTGTCTGATGTGACAGGAGTAGATTGGTTGCCGTCAAGAATATAGCGTTTTGCACCTGAATTACTTTTGATTTTCGGAAGTTGAAATACTTGGTTATCATTCCATGTTTCGCGCACCAATATAGGTTAGGGTTAGGTATTGGAGTTAGGGGTTAGGTTAGGGGTTAGGTTTAGGGTTTGGGTTAGGGTGTGTATATATGTGTATGGAGGTATCTAGTGAACTTTTCAATACACTATAATATCCATTACATAACGTTTACTATATTGGTGCGCGAAACATGGAACGATTACCGTAGACCCTCGACCGTCGATGTTTCCCGGGTCGGCTTCGCCTCGGGAAACATCGTGACAGTCTCGGGTCCACAAAACACACTGTTTCCCTCGGTCTCAGTAGTCAGTAAATAAGTGATAAATATTTCAGTCTGCATAGCCATAGGAAGATCGATAATTAGGGGGGGGGGGGCTCATATTCATGTATTCATGTCCGCAGATCGTAAAAACTATCAATTTCAAAAGAAGTGAATAATGCAAAACACGAATATATGAATATGAGCTCCCCAATTATCGATCTTCCTACGCCTGTGTCAGTCTGCGAGCAGTCAACCATATATCATTGTGGCTATAATAATATTGGAAAATAAACTAATGGTAAACATCTGGGGCCAATTGCTCAAAGGTGGGTTAGCGCTAACCCTGGGTTAAATTTTGACCTGCTGTTTTGGTTTGTATCTTTCTGCACGTACGTTTATTTCACAACTTCAGAGAAGTAACTGACTCCTATCGATCCAGACAAGATCTCTGAAGAAATATTTCCAAATTCATAGACAAGCTGTCAGGAAGTTTCCTTTGAATTTTACGTTAACCTAGGGTTAAGCTAATCCAGATTCATACATTTTAGACATTTTTACATCAAAAAGCAGTTTAAATTACAAATCAGTTTGTCGATTGCATTCATAAGCAGAATGTAATATTTATCAATTCAAATATATTATTATATTGTTTGTTTAACTAGAATAAATGTTACCAGAGATTTGCCAGGCGGAACACGAATTCTTATGATAAATATGAGAGCCCAACATATAACTTTTAACAAAGCCATTAAAACAGTTAAGATTCTACAATAAAAATTCTTTAAAATCTTAACTGTTTTAATGGCTTTGTTAAAAGTTATATGTTGGGCTCTCATATTTATCATAAGAATTCGTTTTCCGCCTAGAAAATCTCTGGTAACATTTATTCTAGTTAAACAAACAATATAATATATTTGAATTGATAAATATTACATTCTGCTTATGAATGCAATCGACAAACTGATTTGTAATTTAAACTGCTGTTTGATGTAAAAATGTCTAAAATGTATGAAGCTGGGTTAGCTTAACCCTAGGTTAACGTCGATCAGAGATCTTGTCTGGATCGATAGGAGTTTACTTCTCTGAAGTTGTGAAATAAACGTAC